ACAAATAAAATTCTATCCTCGAAGAAATAATAAAATATTAATCTATCTTAATCTAAATTTTAAGTTAATATTAAATAATTATAGAGGATATATTTTATATTAAAATATAAATAAAAATAATATTTAAAAAAATAAAAAATTATCTCATGTGTTTTTCATGAAAAAACACATAGGGAATTTACGAGGAAAAATCCAAAAAGGACTCAAGGTGCAGGTAGGCCAAACCGGGCGTGCGAGTCAGCTTGTGGAAGGCGCGCGGGTTGCTCCCGATGAGGCACACAAGTCATGTGCGAGGGTTCTCTTCTGGGTCGTGCGGGTCATTGCACAGGTTTGCCTATTCATGCACACGTAGGTCGCATGTGAGGCCATGTTGGGTGCACTATTGGGCTACCAATTAGGGCTTAGCATGCGAACGCATTGATTGTTAGGCTTGCGCCTAGCTTGCTGGGCCTCGGCGTGCGCAGGCTAGCTTGTTGCATGCGTGTTGGGCATGGGTTGGCATCTGGCTTGTTAGGTGTCATGTGGGCAGCGTGCACTCGCTGCACGTTTACACATGTAGCGTAAGGCTGCTCGCTTGCGCGCACGCAAGCATCATGCAAGGCTATCCGCACACTTGGCAGGCTGTGTCACGCGGCTAGTCTTCCTGTACATGCACATGACTTCTTCCACATCCCATTATTTGAGAATAGCTAAGTGATCCTACCAAACTGAGACATAATCGATAAACTCAAGGGTAGCTAACTTGAGCTTTTTCTCTTCGTTATAGTTATAATAGCTAAAGACGCGATCATCCTTCCACTCCCACTCGATATAGGCCTCGGGGTCATTTTTCCCTTGAAAGACTGATATTTGGAACTTAAAGTCATAGAGGTCCTCGTCCGCCTCTTTGCGACGACCTCCCATCTGTCACTAGCATCATCACCACAAAACACTATCTCTTCTCGTATTATTTGGCATCAAACATGGCTGCGATTGTCACCTCGTCCATGCGATCCATGCATGCATCCATGTTCCCCAACTAGACACTTAATTAGGTGAACATGTCTAGGACTCTTTCTTCCATGGTTACGGGTCTACTATTGGCACTCTAAGAGATCGTAGAGTTTCTGCAAAGATCAAGGTTAGTGAAAACAATAATTCTCCTTTGTCTTCGTTCATGTTTACCTCACAATCCCTCACTTTATAGCTTTTTCTGCCGAGTTGAGCATTTAGAATCGGAATCACTTGGATCAGAATCTGCGTGTCACTCTTAACAACACAACAAAGAATGCTAAAAGAATCTGATTTCTACTAAAACTCATAAAACAAGCACACTGAAGAAGGGATTGTGTGCCTTTACTTACGTATTAAGTAACTAACAACAATTAAATATTTAACTTTATATTATAATAAAAGCACATTAAAATAACATAAACGTAGATCAAGAAAAATGACAAATTCAGATTGATCCATAGAGATCTGATCAATCCCAATGGATATAACCGGAAGGTATATCTAATTATATTACCCCCAATGTTAGCTATGCCTTTACGATTGGTCAAGTTTCTTCACGCAATATTAATGCAATTTGAAATTTAAATGTGAATGATGCAACAAAATGGAAAAAAAAAAGTTTTTACTCTCACCTGATGGGTGAGGTACTCTACCTTTGATTCTTCAAAGGTTTTCTAGTCATACTTATAGGCGGTTACTCTACTTTCGTCATACAAGGATGCAGAACTAGTCAATTGCTTTATGGAGTACAATTGAGATATTTTTTAATTTTAATATATATATATATTTACTAATTGAATAAACATGAAATTACTTAAATCAAACGGATAATATGGATTTAAGCAATATGCTGAACGAATCAACAATTAAATAAATTTGAATGCTCATTTATGAACAATAATACTAGATTAATAAAGATAGTAGGCTATCAGGAGCCTAAGCTCTGTACTTGATGACATGAGAGGATATGGAGATGATCGAATTAACTCTTATAACCTTCACCAACGCATGCAATATAGAAACTTAACCGCTTAATTAACTCCCTGTAATTGAGAATATAGCCACCTAAATGACACTCATAAACAAAGAAAAGGAAATTAAAAAAGAAAAAAAGAAAGACACCATGAACTTACTAATAAGTTGATCTCAACTCCTCGGCTTCACAAAACTTCAAAAAACTCCCTAACTTGAAGAACTTGAAGCTGCTAAAAGAAATTAGCAAAGCTAATTCTTGAATAAAATCAAATTTTCAATTTTATTCTTCTCAAATGTGTATTTACAATTTATGGACAAAAACATTTATATAAACTTTTTTCAACATAGTTCTAAACGAATACAAACACTTAGAAGATGAAATTCTATCCTATAAAAAATAATAAAATATTAATCTATCACAATTTAAATTTTAAGTTAATAATTAAATAATCATATGGAATAGATTTTACATTAAAATAACAATAAAAATAATATTAAAAAAGTAGAAAATTATCTCGTGTTTTCATGAAAAATACATGGGGAATTGAAGAGGGGAAGTCCAAAAAGCACTCAAGGTGCGAGCAGGACAAACCGGGTGTGCAGGTCAGCTCGTAGAAGGCACGCAGATTGCAGTAAGCAGGAACGAAGGTCCTGTGCATAGGCTGTTCTTCCTGGGTCTCGTGGGTCATTGTGCTGGTCGGCCTATTCACGCACACACAGGTCGTGTGTGAGGCCATGCTAGGTGCGCTGTTAGGCTGTTAACGTTGGCTAGGCCTACATGCGCGTTGGGCATGCGATTAACCTGTTGTGTGCTAGGCATGCACCTGGCCTTCTAAGCCTAGACGTGCACAGGCTGGCCTGCTGTGTGTGTGCTGGGCACAGGCTGGGACGCTCGACTTGTTGGGTGTCACGTCGGCAATGCGTGCCTATTACACGTCCATGCGTGCAACGTGAGGCTGCTCACTTGCTTGTAGGCACAGGCAGCGTGCGGAGCTTTCAGCACGCTCGACGAGCCCTGTCACGCGGCCGATGTTCTTGTACGTGCACGTGACCTCTTTTGCACGTACACGTGCCGAAGGCAATTCTGGCTGTGTACTACGTCGTAGATCATATGTTGTTGTTTGTGTACTCCGAGGTCGCGGCCTTGCAGGCAAAATCCCGACATGTGTGGAGCCCATGATTCGTATGTGTAAAGGACTACATATGCATACCCCACGGGTTTCCAAACCTAGACGACATCCTAGACCACTTATGGAGCCAGAACTCTTAGGCCAAGTCGTTCCTTAGTAGTGAGACCCCTTAACGTCCTTTCTGGTACCTTGTGGGGTCGTCTCTTCCTAGGCTGGGACCGTCGTCCATTGAATTCTACCTCGTTGTTTGAGACTTGTTCTGAGGTGGATTCATTTTGGAAACTCTCACTTTAGGAGTACTTCCTGACCTTCCCAAGTAACTCATTAGTATTGGCTCTTTTCCTCCCTTTCACTAATGCTAGGTTGGGTCCTTCCTCAATCATTATCACGTCACAGTTCATAAAGTGTGTCGAGCCTGTATAATAGAGATCACTGTAGGGAAATGCTAATGGACCTTATTCTTTTAGTTATGCACAATTTCGATATTATATTTGTGATGGACTGGTTGGCCACGTATCATGCTAATGTAGATTATCATGGAAAAACGTTGACATTTAATATTACTAATGATAAGGCATTTCAATTCAAATGTTTGATAAAGTCTAAACATCCATGTTTGATCTCTTGTATTCAAGCGCATCGATTACTGGAGAAAGGATGCAAATGGTATCTTACTCACGCAATAGAAAACAAGAAGGAATAAACTGACCTGCAACAGATACCTGTAGTGAAGGTTTTCTTTGACATATTCCCTAAAAATCTCCCAGACTTACCATTAGATTGAGAGATCAAATTCACCATTGATGTGGTCCCGGGTACAAATCCTATCTCGAAGACATTGTATAGAATGGCAAAGGCAGAACTCGAGGAATTGAAGAAACAATTGTACGAACTATTAGATAGAGACTTCATCAAACTAGTGTATCACCATAGGGAGCTTCGGTGTTGTTAAGATACAAAAATTGAATGAAAATTGAATATGTTTAAAACAAATACAACACTAGTGATCAGACAAGAAAAAATAAATTAAAAGAGAAATTGCATCGAGTTCCGATAACTTTTCTAACTAAAATGTAACCAAGACAAGAAGACAAGGAGAAAGAAAAAACATGTGTGTTTTTAAGTACTATATAATGTTAAAGATACAAATACTTTTATATATATTGATTTATTCTGACACAACAGTTCGCTAATGAATTTCATATGGCATTACACCTTAGAAAACCAACACCATTCTTAAGTGATACGGAAAAAATTCATAATTTCATTAAAGGAAAAGAAAAAAAAAAGAAAAGGATGAGAGAAGATTAAGTTAAAATACATAAAAATATAGTCTCATTCATTGAACTTCTATTAAAGAAAAACTAAAAAGACATTGTATTAAACCATGTACGTGAGCATTTTACACATATTGTACATAAGATTTTGAGCTACACTTTAATTGAATATATTGCGAGATTTTTCTCAAAATGTTGGATTCATGAAAGGCATCAACTTTAAACAGAGAGGAAGAAGTTCTTAAATAAACGGTGAGTTACATACACAAGTTGCTGCCAAAATCAAAAGTACTAGAAAAGCACTTATGAGGAAGTGGTAAACCACCAGAAATTCACTTTGTCTAAATTCCAGTTCCATTACACAATCATGAAAAAGAGATCCTTTTAAACAAAACCCAGAAGATAAATGAGAGGAACAACACAAAACCCTCCTAGCCCACAGTCATAATATTCTTGTCAATTACTTCACTAAACTATTACCTCGTTTTATGATATAACAAAGTTGATATCCCCTTCTACAGTTTTTACCGAGGCTAAAAATATCTATTATGATTGGGGAAAAACAACACTAACAAGAAAAAAGAAAAAAGAACAATGATTGGGGAAGGGCAAGGGAGGAGTCATATTGAAATGAAAGGAGAGCCACCGAATATATCTTTCATCACATTTACAAATCCATTACAGTAAGATAACATCAGAAGTCACAATCCAGTTCTACAAGTACAAGGTACCTGAGCGTCTAATGTAGAAGCACTTCTTTCTCCGATAATTTAAAACCAGTTTTTCACAAGAATAGACAAAGATATAACATTCTTGCCATTAATTTATATGATTGGGTGGGGGGGGAAGGGGGGAGAGGACAATTCTTACTTGTAGTAGTAATACAAACAGAAGGCCAGTGAGAAGGCTATTCCGGAGAGAGGTGTACTTTCACATCATAGCTGCTCAGCACAAAAGAAAAAAGAAGAGAAGGGAGAAAGTTTGTGAGCAATAGGGAAAGAATCTGTTCCACTAGATAGAGAGAGAAAGAGTCACCAATTGAATTAAGAACGAAAAGAGCACAAATGTTTAGATTATTGGATCCCTACGCATGTTTATGTCAAAAAAAGATTGGATCCCTACACATGAGAAAGCACCTAATGTCTACATTATTGGCTTGTTTTGGAAATAAAAGACTTTGAAAGGCATGAAAAGGATCAAACTCAGAGAGAAAGCAGATTTCTTGTGTTGTCACTTGTTAAAACAGAATCTTTCAAGATCATAAAAAAAGATGTTTGTTGTGACAAACCAATTATTACCTCTGTTTCCATTTTAATTATTTTCAGCATCAGATTTAGGAAAATTATAATTTTGACTCCCCGGGATAAGTGGCAGAATATGATCATCAACAAACAAAGGGCAGTTTACTTTCTTCCAATCTTTCCCATGTAGACAACATCATTATCTTAATAAATTGGAATCTCAAAAATTTGATTGGTAATTTCCAGTTTATACACCAACTTCTGAAGCTTTGCTCTTTTCTAATCAAGTCAACAAGAATATCACCTATGTGTATCTTTCTTTCATTTTCCCAATGAGAACTGCATTAAGCAATTCATTAAATGAGAAGTTTATAAATATATATTTTACAGTGGAAAAATTGGTACATATTGATGATTCAGAAATCAAGAAATTTCAAAAAGAAGACACCTTCTCAACCAAATTAAATTAACAAACCCAACCCAGTAAACGAAGGGAAAGTATAATTTCCCAACAAGATTTTTCATACTAAATTTAACAGGAAAGTAAACTAGACAAACATGGCATCTGCAAAGGAACTGGTATTAGCTTCCATAGTAACCTTGCATAATGTTTTTGCTTTCAGCATCACACAGTAGAGCTGTCTTCTTTTCGCCACTACCTTATATCCTAATAAATTTGCTTTTGCTAATTAGAATGTAAAACATCTACAATACAGTCGACCCTGAAATGATTCTCATCCTACACACATCTACATTGGCCAGAAAAATAATTATTGTAAATCAGAATCTGCAGAAAACATGGTCTGAAACTATTAATTTAAAACATCCAATTCAATAGAAATTATTGAATTCCCAGAATACTAGATCCCATTTAGTCTAGATGCCATTTAGAGCACTTAGAACATCAAAACACAGAGATAATGAAAGAAGATGAGTACTTCAATTTCAAACAAATGCAGAAACTTACAATAGCATGCATTCAAGAGTCGCTCCAACGACTCAACTTGCATATTCCACGGCGATTATTTGTGAAGGAATCACGAATTGACTTGACCATGGAACATACAGCAGGAATATGACCAAGCTCTTCATCATCCTCCTACAAAATCTCATTCAGCTCACTTCATGAATAGCAATGCATGAGTTTCTTTGTGTTTGTGTGTCTATGTGAGTGATTGACGGAGAAAGAGAGGAACTCATGAATGATGTAATACCACTTCAGCAAGCCGTTCTTCAAGACCTAAAGTATTTGTATCAGCATGCATAAATACCTTTCTGTAGGCTGTTCTTAGACTCCTAATCTAATCCTCGCACAAAGAGAAATACACAGGTCAAGAACCTAATGCAATAAAAACAAGCAGATAAATTACATGGATGTAGACAACTATATCCTTTTATCAAATTTACATAAACTAGCATGCTGTTGGAAGATGCAGAAACTCACTAATTTAATAACTTCGTGCTACACTTGAGACCCTGGTGGATGCTACCAGCAAAAGACAAGAGGGTAATCAAATCAGGTGTGATGTGAACCAAGGCGACATGAATCATTCAAGGGGCCTCATGAAGCATGGAAGTCACTACAAGATCCATATATTTAAAGATCTTCATGACTTGGTCCAATTAAGTAAAACTAAAGAGTCCTCAAGTTAGTGGACTCTCGAGTATTTCAATTCCTACAATTATGGGAACCTGATTACACTTATCCACAAATGTTTCATCCATGTACAACTCATTAAACTCGAGGCAGAAGGTATCTTAAATCTTAAGGGTACTTGGCCAAGCAATTATCCACATGATTGCTATCAAGAGTCATCAAAATCTTGGACTCTTGGCCAAGTAATCTCCTTGCCATTCACTCTTCTTATCATGGACAGATCAGATAGAATTATAAAGCGGATAAAACCCATGTTAATTTATCGAAAACAGAGTCCTATAAGCATAAGAAGTTGGCCAACAAATATCCTAAAAGGATTACACACAATTGGCTATCAAAAGAAGTCCTTAATCCCTTGGACTCTCAAGATTTCACATTCCTTTGACAAATGGAAGTTAATCACTCACCTTGGAAGAGTCCTATGTGTGTTTGGAGCATATTTTACACATGAAATTAAAAGATTTTATCCCTTAAAATCTGATCGGGATGCCACATTATCCAAGCCGCCTGCTTTGAGACAATCATTGCCACACATTCTCTTCATCAAGATGTGGAGTTCAATTTCAAGTCATTTTTGGAATTCATGAATCCTAATTCAAGTAGGATTTACGGGAATTCACTCAATCCGACTTCAACTTGTAAAAAGTCTTAAAGTCGAATGTCTCCATAAAAGCATATTAAAAAATATTATAATCATAGTTGACAAGTGAAATCTCAAAGGGACAATGATTTCCACTCTTGGCTGATTCCCACAAGGAAAATGAGTATTTTGTCTCATCAAACATGGCTGGAATTTTATCCGTCTTCAATTCAACTTTTACACTGAAATTATCAATTAAAGGAGGTCAAATCCAATAAAAACAAGGCAAGCTACAATCGACCACATTCCTTAATGATTAAAGAGACCATTCAAGAGAGACGAGTTTTAATGTATCTTAATTTATTAGTCTGTAATTTATTTTTTTTATTTAAGATTAATACTACTAGAATTTGGTTTTCTATGCCTATTATAGTTCTAAGCTCTATTACTATAAAAAGAGCACACACTTTACGTTGTAATAATCCAAATTTATGATCGATAAAATTTAAAGCTTTCAAGTTTATACTTTCAACTTTTTGAGTGCTCTTTGAGATGTTTCTTCAACCTACTTGTTAAGTGAAAATTTGATTTTACTTATCAGAGTAATTCTTGTAGCGTTTTATTAATTCTTATAAGTTTTTCCAGTTATTGTAATTCTAAATCACAAGTTGATTGCATGTTAAATAAGACGAGTTTGTTTAAGGATTAGTTTTACATATTAAATTGTATGTGTAGAATTTTTTATCACATTGGTTGATCCTGAGTTCCGCATCATTTGGTATTAGAGTTTAGCCTTTAAATAGATTTTATCTTACATTTTTTATTGGCTTAGTTGTTATCCTTCATTCAGTTATCATATCTTGCATACTTTACATCCATCCTTTTATTTATACTCATCTTACAAAAAGAAAGCAAAAACAAAAACAAAAAAATACTATATCCATAGCGTCTTTTTCTATACTTTAAGTTTCATTCTTTCATTGTGTTTTGGTTCCATTACATCACTAACTAATAGCATCCTAATTACTTAGCATCATACATAAACATACATCTTTTTCATCCGTGTGTTTAGATTCTATCGCATTTAGAATTGTGTTACAATTTTCTTTCTCTAAAATTTTTTTGAAGTGTTCTAAAACAAAACTTGATTACCTTGATTCAAAAAGATTCAGTTCTGGTATTCAACTTGAGGGAAGAAGATATTGAGGAGAAAAGGCTTGTAAGTGAAGAGTGAAACACATGAGAGAGTTTTATTTTCTTTACTAACCTTTCTTGTAGGTTTCCCTTAATGTCCTCATCTAGTAAACAAATTGATATGAAACTCTTGATGGAAGAGTTTCAAAGGAGGTTTACCGATAGAAGATCTCCCGTCAAGAAAAGTTCCTCTCTCTCTCTCTCTAGTAAACACCTCTCACTCGAACATTCCCTCCCTTCCTTTCCGTTGAATACTGTCTCTTAAACCCCTACCCTACTGAATAGCAGCAGATTAATTGAGGCAAGCGGGCCGACCTCATACTCTACACTTGGAGATGCTTCTCACATCAAGCAGAAAACATGTGCTCATTGGCAGAAACTCTTTCGATGTGGTAAACATAAGAAAAAAGTTTGATAGCTTAACATTAAGAGAGAATGGATGAGGCTGGCGTGCGTCCATTTCTTTATACGAACACGAAGTTAAATGGCTAATCGACGCCTTAAATGACTTCTACTAGCTCAAAGGGGGCGACACCTAGGTTCGGATGGAATCGAAGGGGACGATTCCTTGTGTTGACCGAAGAAAAGAATAAATTGTTTAACAGAATATTCATCCCTGAGGGCGAGGCTGCCGGAGGATGTTGGCATTTGATGAGAGCCACCTTCGAATTGGCTAAGGTGCCCCTGGTTAACCCTTTTAAAGAAGCTGCACCCCTCGTAAAGGATTCGTCCTTTCTAAACACAACGGATTCGCCACCCTTGGGGTACACTCAGAGGGAAAATGATGTAAAACAAGTCGAAACTCAACACTATCAAATGCTTCATGCTGCCCCAATGTAACCGTGGATTCTGAGTGACAATTGAAGCTGTTGGTGGCAAATCTTTGCTTAAGCTGTGATTTCAGGCTGCAACTCACCCAAATGGGTTAAGGCGATGCCACCCAATTCAAAGAAGAAAAATTTAAATTTTAAATCCCAAAAGCCTATTCAACCTGCCCCGTCCGCCATCAGAAGTCAGTCAATCTAATAGGAAACAGAGACAGCTGAACAAGAAACAAAATGAAGAGTTCCACCATCCCAGATTGGGCCCAGAAAAAGCAGGCTACCCTTACGCCAATAGGCCAGCAAATCAGGCCCAAATACAGCTGGAAAGAGAAAGGAAAATGGGTGGAACACATTGCGCCTAACAAGGAAGCCGAAAAGTTCAAGATGCTAAAGATTAAGAGCTCCAAAGTCCACCGGATGTGGAGATCCGAAAAGAAGTGTCTGACCCGCTCGAATTTACCCAACCCAACTGAGGCAAAAGATAAAAGAAATGCCGCACCCACTGACACTCCCATTCTCAACATCCAGGGAAGCCCTAGCAGAGAAGAGCAAACAGAGAAAACTATTGTGTGCAGCGAGACAAGGTAGGTTGAAACTACCCCACCTATTTCGACCTTTAGTTCAGATTTGTTAGAAGAAAGTTTCACTCCATTAATCAAAGTATGAGCAGAGAGATGGCCTTAATACAGAATGATCTTGAGAAGTACCTGTTGTTTCTCGTGTCAGCCAAGCATTCCCGCCATTGACAGGCAACTTTACACTGATTGGGTCTTGCAAAATATCAGTTGCATTACCAAATTGCTTGGTCTGACCTATAATGATTATGAGGCCCAAACCATGGCGAGGTTTGCGGAATTGAAGCACAGAAGAGCAGACAGAAAGACTAGCCCCGAGAAGTCTTCTCGGCCGAAACAGAAACAACCAGATGGAGGAAGCAGAGAATTGAAATGCCTGGAATGTCCTGTAAATTATGAGCGAACGCAGAAGAAGAGTAATGTCAGGGAGGGGTCTTCATCGGATTTATAATTCCAAAAATTATCTCCTGAAATATTAGGAGTCTAAATGACTAAAGGAAAAGAAATGTCTTGAAAGGTTGTTTTCACAGATGGAAGCCAACCATTGTTTGCTTCCAAGAAACAAAAATGGAGTCGATCACTGATAAAACTATCAGAAGCCTTTAAAATGTAGATGATGTGGAGTGGCTTTGTTTATCGTCCAAGGGCCCAACAGGGAGCATCCTAATCATGTGGAAAAAGGACATTGGTGAAGTCAGAGATCATCTCACTGGTGAGACAACACTCTCTTGTCTATTTTCTAATATTATTTCTGGGAAAGATTGGTTTTTTTCTGGTGTCTACTGCATGAGTAATGAGACAGAGTGCAAACTTTTGTGGAATGAGATATCTTCATGTCTAACCAAATGGGGTAACAAAGGATTATCGGTGGGGATTTCAATATGGTCCTAAGGTGTAGTGAGAGGTCAGGCGAGCACTTCTCTGCTTCATGTGCTAATGAATTCCAAGAGAAAATTGAGAGCCTGGATTTAGCCGATCTTTCCCTTAGTGGGGGTCTATGGATATGGAGCAACCAAAGGGAAAACTCTTCATTCTCCAGAATTGATCAATTCCTTATCTCGGCAGATATTCTATCCTGCATTCCGACTCTCTCAAAAGGTACTCCCTAGACCCTTATCTAACCACTTTCCTATCTGCCTAGGCCATGAAGGTATCCAATGGGGACCTACTCCCTTTAGACTTGATAATAGATGGCTCAAGACTGATGGTTTTTGTGCTCTTGTTGAAAAAGTTTGGTCCAGCACTGGGGGCAAGGGCACTGCCAATTTCAAGTTAGCCAAGAAACTTAAATGTCTAAAGGAGGAACTCAAAAAATGGGCCACAAGTGCTAGCAGGACTCAGAAGCTTGAAATTATAGGCATCATGACAGAACTTGAACGAATGGACAAGGCTGAAGGGAATGCGGGACTTTCTAATGAAGACAAGGAGAAAAGGAAACTGTTAAAGATCAATTTGGCAAAGAAATTTAACATGGAA